TTCTGCCGGACGGTTATGTGGGTGAGCGACTGTACCCCGTTTCAGACGACGACCCAGAGGATGAATTGGCAAGCATACAAGAAACGGGACAGTCGCCTTATACGGAGCGGTTTTCTTCATCTTATACCCATGCGAAGCATCTTATGGAGCGCTTGACGTTCAAGCGGTATCCCACGCTCCCGGTATTGTTTGTCCGTCCGACGATCTTTGGACCGGCTGTCAGAGACCCATACCCACTGTATGGGCCCGAAGATTCGACGCCCCTGACGAAGTTCTCTACGTTGTACTTTTCAGACCAGGGAGGTACCCAGATATGGCACGCCGCAGAGGGCTATAAGAGTGGTCAGAATATCTTGGATGAAATACCAGTTGACTTTGTCGCAAATGCGTGCCTTTTGCATGCAGCTGCTGGAACGCGAGGGATCGTTCATATCGGATCACAATTATATGTGAGCCACACGTTCGACGAGATCCTAGCCATATGCAGGGAAAATGCCCCGGAAGAAATTCGGCATGAGTTACCAAAGATAATATTCGTGCAAGATCGAAGTATCCCACAACATATACTGGCAGAGCTCGTCAAGGTGGGCACCCGCAACTGGATTTTTGATTGTGGGCGATCGTACTGGCTGAAACAGCTCGGAGGTCCTTTAAGCTTGGCGTTCTGTCAACATCATCTTGACAAGCTCTCTTCAGCACGGACAAAAGAAGCTTATGGAAAGGTGCTGAGAAGAATGGGAAAGCTTTGAAGAGGCGTCTGTGCCTTGTTTTGAGATAGTCGTTTGCAAGCCCTGTTATTTATATGCGACGGCCTTATTTGTGTTTAGTCTGTGCTGATAGATCCGTGTCAATCTGTACGCTGACCAGTGCCCAATATTATGAGGAGCTCTTGTAAGCATTGCCGGTGCGCAGCTCATGCAGTAGCTGCGAAACCCGGTGACCACGAGTGTAAGAACGCAGAAGCTGATCCAATGTATGTGCCTCAAAGTCCTATTTTACGTTTCGGCCACTGCAATGCACCTTCCCACCGTACGTCGCAGGGACGGAGGGCATTCAGCAACTCGGAAACCAGAGCTGTTCCGGAATCCTTTGCCCACCATACTTTTTCATCAAGCTCCTGGAGCAGAACCCCCCAGTGTATGAGGACTAGCAGCGCGAGAGGTTGACGGCATCTCAGAGCATGGACGAATTCCTTATCAACGGTTGCAACCCATGCGAGTATGGAAGCCACGTCCCGGGCATGATTATATCTGCAGAAACAACGGCGTAGAAGAGCTATTGCATTCTTGATGATGTGGTGTTGATCCGCTTTGTCAGGAGCAAGCATATCGTTGTTCAAGGCCGTTAATCGATCCAGCGCAGCTTCGATTTCACTGTCTAGTATGGAAAGCTGATCTTCCCAGAAGCCTCTCCGGGAAGTAAATAACTTTCCTTGAAGCCAGGGACGGCTGATGGTGAAGATTTTACTGACTCCGTGCAGCAACTCGAAAACGACAATGATGTTTTCGGTCATGCTTTGATTCTCTTCTCGTGCCAATTGTGGTAACTTTATACCAATAATAGTTGTGATTACTGAGTGAGCTAAGACTGCGTCACAGTTGGCTGGAGTGAGGTTATCAAGTGCCTGACGAAAAGGCGCAAATGCATGATTATGGTACTCCAGAGCTGTGTCAATATAGGAAAGCGCTTCTGGTGGATCGAGTGTCGACGCGATATGGAGAGATGCAATCGCTAGTATCCCGCTCATGAGGAAGTCATGCTGCAAAGCCTTGCGAGGGATGACATACTGCCATTCATGGTGATCAGTTGGTTCATTGCATAAACTCAGATACGTCTCCGTGGAAAACTTGTGCATTAGCTCAAGCTCCCGCAGGCAAGCAAAGTTTGGCGGTGAAGATCCATAGCGGGAGACGGGCTGGTTGGCATGGTATGTTGCCTCAGGGGGTGCTACTATTGACTGCAAAGGAGCAGGACTTGTCGATAGTGTAGACTCCTTGCGTGCTGCCGGGGCTTTAAAGTAAGTACATGCCAGCTCCCGGCTAATGCAATTGGAGCACGGTGGGCCTCGTTCGTCGCACTACAGCCGTTAGATCTTAGAAGAGCGCTGCGGATATGATAGTGAATTAGACGGGCATTAAATAGTTCCAGAATTGAGCATTTTCGGCTGTTCAATTCAGGCATAGCCCGGGAATGCGGGATATGAGAAGTATGAAAGTGAATGATGCTTACCTTGACGCGTCTCTTCTTACACTGGTCACAGCCATTGCGTGACTTGGTATGGGTCCTTCTAGGTGGCATTTCCCCTCAGTTCATACCCACCGGTCTCATGTCTTGCGAATTCAGCCCTATTTTCGATAAAGGAGCATATCGGACGCTTATTTGCCGGCGGATATCATCGTCCGCTTAATGATCAAGATTATTCGAGTGGATGGATGAGAATTACTTTGGACTAAGCGGCTCCACGTGCCGACGCGGGGTGACTAATTCTCCGTATCACGTGATAACAACCCATCAAAGCCATCCTCAAGCGCAGATGTTCCATGAGGCTATAAGATTTCCTGGGGTCAATGCAAGCTGGGCACCGGCATGCCGAGAGCTGCTGCAACTATCTACAGAAAGAGTTGTTTCACCTCTGGCTGTTTTGTTCTCCAACCCAGCAGCAAAAGGGGCGCAATGACACAGGTGGAGCCGTGAGTCCCCACGACGGCCGCTATCAAGTCGGTTAAATGAATGCTTACTGAATCTTCTCCAGGCACGCTTTATCTCCATCGACGAGATCAGTTCCGGGAAGAAAGAGTGGGAGTTGATCGAATAGTTCGTTGATGACCAGGAATAAATGATCCCGACGAACAAATCAAGAGGATACGGGCTCAAAATGTTTCCTTCTGGCAAGGAACCAAGTGCATGGCCGGAGGAATTCCCCCATCGGCGATAAGGTCGAACCAACAGATACAGCCGGTGGAGTAGTGCGAGAACGAAAACGAAAACGAGAACGAAAGCGAGCCAATCGGCGTTGTCATGCCATGAGATTTATACACGACCGATCCACCAGGCAGAGGACCGTCTCCAAGGCCCGGCAAATCGGGATAAAGAACGGGTCGACTATAAATTTTATTCGACTATCTTATATTAATAGGTCTGATCCCCATCAGGCTGACATACAATATGTGCGCGCATCGATCAGGGTCAGAGCCAGCATCATCTTACATATCTGTTTCTTTCTTTCCCTCGTTTTCCTACTCTGCTTGCATATATTGCGTGGTATATTGCATATAGACCTTTTCATAGCGGCTTGTCACTTTCTTTCATTTCTTCCACCTATACCAACTATATCTTCCTCACCTTACACCGTTACACGACTACTCTCACGACCACCTGAGCCAGAGACCGACAACCCATCACCATGAGCATCACTTGCACGCACGTCACGCCAGAATGTCCCGTCACAGCGACAACATACGGCTACTACCCAAACCTCGGCGGTAACATCTTCTTCGCCGTCTACTTCGGTCTACTCGGCACCCTCCAACTCGGTCTCGGCGTCTACTACCGCTCCTGGACAATGATGATCGCAATGGTAATCGGCGGATACATGGAACTCGCAGGATACATCGGTCGAATCCTAATGAACCACAACCCCTGGGACCAAAGCGGCTTCAAACTACAAATCGTCTGTCTCGTGCTCGCCCCGACCTTCATCGCCGCCGGTATCTATCTCACCCTGAAACACGTCATTCTCTCCCTGGGCCCGGAATACTCGCGTCTCAAGCCCCAACTCTTCACCTGGATCTTCATCAGCTGTGATGTCGGATCACTCATTCTCCAAGCCGCAGGTGGCGGTGTTGCCGCGGCAGCAGGCAGCGAGAACCAGAATCTGCTGAAGGTGGGCGATGATATCATGGTAGCGGGTATCGCCTTCCAGGTGGGCACCATGTCGGTTTGTGGTCTGTTAGCGTTGGATTTCTTCATCCGCGTTGTGAGAAAGGGACCGGGCTTGGGCGGCGAGAAGTTCATTGATGAGAATGGGAACCTCACTGGGCCGAAGAACCTCAGGGTTGTTGTTTGGGCCGGCATCGTAGCTTACTTTGCTACTTTGATTCGGTGTATTTATCGGTAAGCATGTCCCACTACCTCTTCTTCTACTTGTCACCTTCTCAAAGCTAGGTACACTGCGAGATGCTAACGCGGTATATGCAGTATCCCTGAAATGGCCGGTGGATGGGGTAACCCGCTCATGCAGAAAGAGAATGAATTCTTGGTTCTTGATGGAATGTGAGTGTGCCCCTTTCGATTATGGCTCCCGTCCCCGTTCTATATCGGGAATACGGAAAATACTGATTCTAGATATAGGATGATGGCCATCGCCGTGAGCTGCCTTACCTTCCTCTACCCCGGATTCTTCCTGGAATCTATCCGGAAGGGGATGAAGAAGACGCCTAAAGCCTAATTATATACAAGAGTCTATATCTTAGTGTATACCCTACAACTATAGTACATACAATAGATACCAGTTTACCATCGTTGCAGTTTTGAAAGTTACAGTTACTGCCGTTCTCTAAGTATGGTTTCGCCAACTATACATACTAGGGATACTTCAGTGGCCAAAATTTAGTGGGTCCGTGTATTTAACCCCTATACCACAAGTATATTCACTGGGAAAGGAAACCCGCCTACACCCAAGAGGATATACAACCAGGATCGAAAAGCGCACGAGAAGAAGCATGCAAGGGCAACGAGTGCAATGGTAGGTTGAATGAACAGAACGGAAGGAAGAAGGGCAATAGAAGTAAAGTAAGAAAATAAATTTGAACTCCATCTTAGACCAATCAACAACGAGGAAAAGAAGAAAACTCCCCGCATCCGCAACAAGAATTGTCAGGCGAAAGGGAAAAAAAGAATGCATATATCCCGTACGTAAGTAAATAGATAGACCATCAGCCGAATCAACCGCACCAAGCGTCCTTCTATCATGCAACGAACAACATAAAGAAAAGAAAACCCATATTGACCCATTTCCGTCTCTGTTCCATGTACAAACCACGACTGGATGGTTTGACTCAAGGTATGATAAAAGTAATTAATGAAAGGAGGAACTCATTTACTCCTCTCCCAGACTATCCCGTACGCACTTGCGCACCTTCTTCTTGAACTCTTTCGGGTCTTCCCGCCATAACCGTGCAGCCTCGACATTGGCGGGGCTTTCATCGTTGGGGCTGGAGAGCATGGAGATGACGGAGAGGAGGATCGTCTCGGGCGTTTGCACGGGGGACCAGCGCTCCGCGGCGGACTCGTAGCCGTACTTGTCTTCCTCTGGGGGATGGAGGATGGAGATGCAGACGTCACCGTTGGGGTAGACTATATGATTGCCACAGTTGAATTAGTATTCTGTGATTGTCTTGTGCCTTAGAAGAGAATTCAAGGGAAGCTAGAAAGGCACAGTGTGAGGCGTACTGTTCGGATGGTACAGAGGCGTCTCGAACTTCATTTTCGGCGGCATGTGAGGGTAGTCAGGAGGAAACGAGAGACGAGCACGGAAGAAACCACCTATTATTCATTTTTGGTCAGTATGACAAGCCCCTGGAAATAATTTGGAGATGTTGATTCAGGCTTTCTCCCACCCAAACTTTACTCACCGCCATACAACTTGACATCATCGGAGATCATGAGCATGACCTCCCATTCAAAGACATTGTTATCGACCAATCCGCAGCTGATGCCGGGAATGTCCTTGTCCGACTGCATTTGCTGCAGTTGGCGGGAGAGCATGCGACCTGCTGCTGTTGTGGCCATGGTGGAGAGAGTATACCGAGGAGGGGTAAGGAGGGGGAGAGGAGGGGTGTTGAGCCGATAATACGATGAGGGGATGCAAGAGGAGGTGGTATGGTGAGAAGAGAGGGGACCCTTGATAGAGCAGAAGGTGGCCAAGGGGGTAAAGAGTAGAAGAAGAGGAGAAAGAGGAGAATAGGAGGGGCTACTACCCTGAGGGTGATTTAACACAGAGAGCAAATGAGCAGGAGGGAAGGTAAGTAGACCGAGGGTCACGAAGAGACTGGCAGTTAGTAGTAGTGAGTGGATGGGAAAGAATCGCTGCCGGGCGGTGAGTGGGGGGCGGGGTGGGCTGCGATAACAACTTAAATGGTGCGCCTCGGTGGCGTTGCTCTGCTACTACTTGTAGTAAGTAGATTGTAGCCGTGAGTACCTGGCGGGTATGGCCCGTCCAGTCTATGATATGTGACTGGTCCAAAGCAAGTTGAGGATGCTGCAGCAGGCCGGTGAAGATAATAGTAGTCTACCCTCCTGGGAAGTCTCTCTAAGCCAGGTCTGTCCAGGTGAGGGGATAACGTTTACTCCTTCGGACCTCCGCAGGACAATCCCGACTCTCCCAAGTCCCCTCCTGTGTCACACGCCATGCTTATCCCTGCCCGATGCGACGGGAGGGCAAACAAAGAAATATGGGCAATAGGGGTAGCTGTAAGAATGATCGCCAACGACTCATCCGTGCACGAGATGGCTGGAACTAAATCACATTACACAGGTTCAAACTACGTCATGGATGGAATATGGATTATCATGTAAGCGCTATATCATCAAACACGAGGACTTATGTATAGAGTCATGCAAAAGAGCAGAGTCGTAGCTGATTGTTTTGGATCTGTACACACTTTAAGGCATTCGGCGGTAGTTAAGCGTTGTTTCCAGCGAAGCCATAGGTGACCGCTCCAGCCCAAACCTGCGCAACCAGCAGAGTAGTGAAGAATGCAGCCACGGCAACCTCAATAGCGAACCCTTTGCCGATGGCCTTGACGAAGCGGACCAGAGCAGGCCGGTCGAAGGTCTTCCAAGCATCCATGATGCTCAGCTTGCCGCTGCCGCCGACAATGGCGGGAGAGACCTTGCCGCCGAAGGAACGGTCGAAAGGCACAATCGACTCATCCTCCTCAGGGAGCATAGACGCAGCCACGCGGATGAAGATGGCCCGGGCGGGAATAGACACCACGAAAGAGAGAAGGGCTGGCAGGGAGACGAGCGTAGCAGCGCCGGCGAGAGTTTTGGCTGGGGAGTCACCGCCGGAGGGGTTCTCAATGTTCTTGAAGCCGTTGCAAGCGCTGATCAGGATCAGGGGAATGTAGTATGCGGCATTGGTAACGGCGTGTTCAAAAGCAACAACAGGAGCGATCTTCTTCCAGGCATCGAAACCGGGGATCCGCTGGTAGAAACGTTTGGGAGAAGGCTCGGAAATGACGATGTGAACCCACGCCAGCTGCAGGTTCGCCAATGCAACGCTGCAGATCATGCCGACAACAAACTGAGAGAAGAATGCGTTGATAGCAAACGGCATCATCGAGAAGACCAGCCCTTGTGCAAGACCATAAGTGACGAGCATGCTCAAGCCACGGAAGCGGGAGAGGAAACCGGCACGGGCACGGAGGTGCTGAATCGTGGTGCGTAGTTTGCTGGTGATGGGCATCGGAGGGGGAGCTTCGATCACAGGCTCGGTATCGGGCTCGTTTGCATTGACAGGCTTGTTGGCGTCAAGGTTGCCATCGATTCGGACGTAGACATCGGGGTTGGAATCCTCGATAGCGGCGAGGGTCGGGATCAGCATTCCATAAGTGTACTCCACCTGAGCGTACGTGTCAGTGCCCGTCAATAATCGGCTCAGAGACAGTATGCAGCTTACCGAAAATCCGATGGCGATGAAGGCGAGGACCGTGAAGACAAACAGAGCTGACAGCCATCCTGCGAAATGGATGGTGGGTTGGTTCGGGGTAGGCTGCTCCAAGGCGGCCTCCACACCTCGACGGACGAGGGAAGAGATGGTCATGATTGTGATGGAGTCAAGCGGGGGATACCACGGTCGAATAGAACTGATGATTTTGATGGATGCAATATAGAAAAACGGCGAGTCGGATGGAAATGAAGCAGCGAGGATGAAGAGGAAGCAGAGGAATAAATGGGAGAAGGCTCGCCCTCCAGGATCAGGCGGCAACGAGCAATTGCAGGCAGTAACAAGGCTATTTTGGGACTAGTTATAAAGTAAATGGGCGGCGGCTCGTAATCACGCCTGCTGCAGTGGGGACCCGCGTCACCACCCGCCAATCAGGAGGTTGCCGATTGTTGGCGCTACTCCAAGTCGGGGCTTTCTTTGCCCGGACGCTATCATCCCCCGATCCGAATGCAGTTCTTCTTACTACCAAGCACGCTACAATGGACCCTGGCGTCGCCGTTATCACGAACTGGTGTTAGTGTGGATTGCCTGGACCAGTAACGAAGGACCCCCATGCAAAACCTGGCAGAAAGGGGCACCTCAGCTTATCGTGTTCGGGATAGGGTGCACAAATCGGCATATCCTTCTTCAAGCCTACCAAAACACAATGGGTTTCAGCCACAGCGTTTCAATCACCCAATTATCTAGGCTTGGCTTACACCAATCAACTTAAATGGTTATGCCGCCTTATGTCGCTCGTACAATATCAAGGTCCGGATCCACAGTAATTGACATGTTTTGACCGAAAAGGGCATCGCCAATACCTCAGAGGTGCGGATATTAACCGGTGAAGCGACAGCACCGATTCTGCGCTGGGCAGGCACTAGCCGATTGCTCTAGCGATTGAGAAAGGTCTCGTTGAATCAGCGACATGTTCTTTTCATAAAGCATATCCCCAGTACTACTATAGACAGTAAATTCTGCTTTGGTTCCCTCAATCAGCGTTGACGACCTCAGCAACGGATGGCAGGAACTTAGTGTCCATGCCCCACGGCGCGTGAGATTATCTCACTTGCACTTTCAACTTACGTGTCTCATCGTCGCTCTGCTGCTGGGATGTTAGTTAACCGGTAGCTACTGACCAACTGCCAAGCTTCACATACGATTAAGTTAACCTGAAAACTGAGCTGAGAAGGATAAGCTATGTGCGGAGGCCGGGCCGATTTCTCCACTCTAATGGTTGGAGTGTAGCTATAAAACCTGTCTGGGGTTACCGGAGTATATGCCGGTCTTCACGTGTATTACATAGTATCAAGGCTGGCGTAAAAGAAGCACAATCAGGGGTATACGTTTGAATGTGAGCATGATACTCAGCGCTATCTCCGCCCGTCCCTGTTTTGGCCCTAGGCAGATGGGCAATTGACAGATGCTCTCACGGAAATGGGTGTATTGAGTCTGGGCAATTTCTACCCTGAATTTCGCTGGCCAGGTATTTGATCTGCTTTATCTGAATACCCCAGGCCTGATCTTCCTAACGTCAACCACTGGAAACCAAAAGACGACGTGTGCTTTTGACGACTAGAAGGCAGTTCTGGGCTCCATGCTCAACGATTAACAATTTGATCATCAGAAGCACGTGGCCTTTGGTGCTTTTCTCAAATGTTTTGGGCGTACACCAGAATTGCTGGACAGTGGCGACTGAACTTATGTCGATCACCGTGCTGGCCGTTTTGGTGACCAGGTTTATCCATTAAAGCTGTTTCAGGCACAGACACATATGCACCACACAGAATATAAATAGGGCTAGTCCCCACACAATCTCCCGTTAATGTCTCACCTCACTTGTCTCTAGAAAGACGCCAATTGGCTTACCTTGTCAAAACTGTTGTTTGAAGAGACCCGTGCTCGACTGATCGGGTATAAGATACGAAAAACGAAGGACGGGGAAGGACGATCGTCCCGGAAGTTAATTTTGATTATTTCTATTAATTGTTCTACGGCTGATGTTAAATGTCCCTCTCTATTAATCCTACTCCTGAGCGTAGATTTTGAGAATGTATGATTCCATTAGACTACAATCTCCATAGCTGGTGGATTGATCACCATCAACTTACGTTTTTTAGCAAATGATATTGCCGCCCCGACTGGCTTCAGGGCCATGTTATTTTCGCCGAAATATCCCCGCTGGATGATATCTTTACCAATGTGATATACCATCAGTGGGGGAGTTCCTACTGTGCCGTCTTTACTAGTGGCTGGGCAGTCTTGGTAAACACAGTAGCCTGCCCTGTTGGTAGCCCTGAGACGGCCGGAAGACCCTTAGACTTGCGAACCTGCAGCATTGAGATTTTCTCTTGTAGCATCGTATATGTGAATTTATAAAGGGACATGAGCTTCATACTGTCAAGAGTGCTTGCGATCTTACTGTACCAAGTAAGCTGCAATATGAATTGTATGAAATTGTAGATAATATGATGAAAGGGGATCAACGTAAAGGTATGGTTCTACATTGATTTTGTGATGAATGAGGGTGACATCCACATTGAACCTTTGACTGCTTTACAACGGGCCTGTCACCTACTACCGGTTACCCACCAGAATCACTCTCGGCTTTTCCAAAATGCTCATTGAGCTTATAATGGTAACCATAAGAACCCAAGCCCTGTGGATTTCTACGGACGCCCCTGAGCGGAGAACGTTCAGCTCCATAGCATAAACGTGCAAGCTACGCAGCGGAGATCCACCTGCCCAGTGCGTAGTGTTCGTTAATTACTTATTAAATCCTCTTTGTCCTCCAAGTTCTCTCTTCCTTGGGGTTCAACTTCTGCTTTTCCAAACGCCTCACGACCCAAAGCTTCAACCATGTCGAGTGACTACAAGCTCTATGACTATGAGCCCTCTGTCGTCGCTGCTATTATCTCTGCCGGGCTGTTCGCTGCAACCTCCCTAGTGCATCTTTTCCAATTGATCCGTAGGCGAACATGGTGTTTTGTACCATTCGTTATTGGTGGCTTCTGTGTGTTCCCTCATCCCTCTATTCCTCCACACTTCTAATGCCTTGAGCCTTTTTAGTTGAAACCTTTGGATACATCGCACGATACTTCAGCGCCAGAGAGACCCCCGATTGGACCGTGAAACCCTACGTCGGACAAGAACTGCTTCTCCTTCTAGCCCCCGCCCTATTTTCCGCCTCCATCTACATGATCCTGGGCCGAATCATCCGCCTCCTCGACGGCAGTTCACACTCTTTGATCCGGCCATCATGGCTGACCAAGATATTCGTGACCGGCGACGTACTCTCATTCTTCATCCAAAGTGGCGGCGGCGGAATGATGGCCTCTGCCAAAACCCCCAGCAAGATCTCTTTGGGTAATAACATCATTGTGGTCGGTCTTATCGTTCAATTGGTCTTTTTCGGCTTCTTCATCATCGTCACTGTGGTATTCCATCGCCGTATGGCTGCTTCGCCCACTGAAGTATCCTTGACTTTCACACCGCCGTGGCACACTTATATGCGCATTTTGTACACGGCTAGTGTTCTGATCATGATACGGTCCATCTACCGTGTGGTGGAATATGTGCAGGGCTCGGAGGGCGTTTTGAAACAGAGTGAGATGTTTCTGTATATTTTTGATACCCTGTTGATGTTCTTGTGTTGTGTTTTGTTCAATGTCATGCATCCGAGTCGCATTCTCTCGGCTCGTCCAAAGTCTTATGGCAAGATGATGGACATGGAGGAGGATCAGGTGGAGATGCTGCGCCCGGAGGCGATGAAAAATTTTTGAGTGTCTTTCTCCTTTATCGATTTACGACTTTCTTCTCGTTCTTCTCCCATGTGTTTCGATGTGATCATTGGTTGTCATGCATACTGCATCATTCAGTCTTCCTCTATAAGCCCTATTTTCTCCAAGTAGCACCCGGGATTCAACTCTCCTATATCACCGCTCTGTCCTGATCTTCTCCTTAGAAGGAGGAAAGATACGAACAGACGACCGCAGTATTATTCCAAACAAAATCCTTATCATCTACTGTAGATGCCTTGTCGTAGTCGTACCCATTTCCGCTTATGGTTAGGAGGTATTTGAAAGTGGAACCAGCAAAGTGATAAGGAGATTAAACTTAAAACCTCTAAAATAATTACTTTATCCTCGATCTAAACTATGTGGAGATTAGAAAATGATTGACGTGTTTTAAAAGTAAAGTTGCAACCTTATGCCTTCATCTGTTGAGGATGGTGGGGTTCAACCCAGAAAGTACATTGGGCTATATTGCTACGCCTGGATAATAGTAAGGTAATTAGTTGTTCAACTCAATTCGATTCATTTCTGGTTGAAGCCTCTGTGGTCTAAGAGGGTCGTCGCTACAACTACTAAACATGTATTACAATGGGGAGACCACGTAGGCGAGTGTCTTAACAGAATACAATATATGAACTCTCACTATGTCTCTTTTCTTCTCCCCTTCTATACATTAATGACTCCATAACAGCCATAAAAAAACAAAAACAACAATATACAATAGTACCCTCTTCCACATCAAACACCTTCCTCCCCCTTCACTTCCTCACTCCCATAAGAATCAACCCTCCCATGAGCCTTGAAATACCGATAATCCAAGACACAAAGATACGACAACAACCCCACCACCCCACTAGATAACCCATTAGCTCCACCCACACCATCAATCGGTCTTGGTTCTTATAAAACTCACCATAACACCAACGCCAAAACAGCCACAAACGCACCCAAGGCCTTACTAGCGACACTACGGCCGCCGCTCGCGCCCATTATACTGATAATGAATAACGCGAACCAAAACACCGTGTCGATTATATCCAGGATCATGTTGGCTTTGAGATTGGCCCATCGCTTGAAGCGGGCTTTGTAGGTTGTTAGGATTTGGTAGGTGAGGAAGAGGGCGGCTTTGAGGCACTATTCATTAAATTGAATGTTAGTTTTAATGAGTGTAATTGAATTGAGAGAATGCCTATGAGGGGCAAGAGGATTGTACCACTGCTATACCCCAGATATTGGTGCGAGTTGCTGGTGTGCCTGGGGTTGCTAGTCGGGCGATGATGAGGATGAAGGTCAGAGCGATGAGTGATGCAATGAGGATGTGGAGGCGACGTTTGAGGAGGGGGCGCGTAGATGGATTGATGAGGTTGGTGATGTTGGTCATGTTTAATATCATTTAATGCTTGTTTTGTGTTTGAGGAGTTGTAGTATGGTATGAGTAGTATGTTTGAATTGTGTTGTAGATGGAACATCCGAACCAGGACCATTGGACTTCATAAACCATTTCCTTACATGGATTTGCCATTCGATGTAGTCTAGACTAAGGCTTTGGAACAATTTAGGCATTCAGATAAGAACAAAAATAGCCCTTTACATTGAACCGTGCTTTGCTTGAGGGAGTGGTTGGGTAGTTCTCGTATCAGTTACCTTCTGAGGATATAGATACGACTGCTGTCTTCATGCCTTAGTGCCTTGATGCCTGTGGCTCACAGCGGGAAGAATTCGGTCACCTGACCGCGTCTCCCTCTCTTCGCATGCTCGGGGATAACATGAACCCATATTCAAAGAGGAAGCGATGAGATATTTCTGGATATAGGATGTTGACTAGCGATCTGGCTATGGAGGCTTCGAAGCTGTAGAGACAGCGACTGCAACTAAGGGCCATGATCTGACTCTCTACTGGTGTTTACCTTGTTTATGGTTTGTATGTCTAATTCAATGCTCTATAATGGAGCAGGAACTACAGATGGCAGTCCATCGCCAATGTGAAGGCTAGAAGTATGATTTTTTTTATTTTTATTTATTTATTTATTTATTTTATTTTTTATTTTTTATTTTTTTCTTTTTTTTTTCTCAAGAGAAAGACCTCGTAGTAGCGATTTAGTGGTGACTGTTAATCATGGATTAGTACCATTAGTGATAAGAGCGTCTGGTGCGCAGATATATATCCACACTGCCCAAGCCCACTATCACTTACTACTACTAGTAGTACTATGAAAGTTTCTAATCACACCAAACCAAACGAGAGCTAACTACATAACGATAAGCTTGTTGCAACGACCAACAAGTACCCAATGTATTCCGTACACCATGATGCAGCACTGGCTTAGGTCATGCCTGAAGATAAATATAGAAAGACAAGCCCTCCGCTAGAACTTTCTTTATAATCCGATCAAACAGCGACATGTAGTTGAAGTATATCGAGCTATAAATAAAGAGGACGCGATAAGCTTTCTAAAACGAACATCTCCGCAAAGCCACAATCAGCTCAAGTCACAATGTCATCGAAATGCAGAAGTCTCGAGCTTATCGCGCATCCGTTGCGTGGATGCTTACCTTCCGAGGTCCAGTGCGGCGGATTGACTGTTACACATCACATTCTGATGCCACTCTGCATAGTCTACGTCACCACTTCATGAATACCCCTCCTTATTTCAGTGTATAAGCATGGTCATCATGCTGCAACTACTCAAGATCTATTACGCGGCTTGGTTGATGATCTTAAGAGTTTATTGACTCATATTTTTTACCTAACCGACCGAGAAAGAGTGTAAATCAACCTGGTGATCCATTAAACCATCCATAAACCATCCATGCTGCTGCATATCCACGATCATGATCCTGGGCAGTCGGCACATTATCTACTAGTCATTATGCTATGACCCATCCTATTAACATATACAAGCCGCAAACAAAGCGTAGAAGTCGTAAACCATAATAGTGAAACAATCCAAGTCAGGTTTTCAGTCCCGTCTTGGCGCCTGAAGTATCCAGGCCATCAAGTCATTTGCCCAGTCATCTAGAGAAGGAACATAGCAGCGAGACCAAGAGCACCAGCGATTCCACTGCCGGCAATGTTAAGCTTGGGAGCAGCACCAGTGGTCTCGGAGGAAGAGGGAGCAGTTCCGGTAGCAGAGGAAGAGCCGCCAGAGCCGTTGGAGCTAGATCCAGATCCAGATCCAGAGCCAGAGCCAGAGGTAGAGCTGCCAGAAGAGCCGGAGGTGGCACCAGAGACAGTACCGGTGCTGGTGCTGGTGCCAGTGATAGTGCTGAGAGTGGTCTGGCCAGAGACAGTGCCGGTGCTAGTGCTCGTGCTGGTGATGGTGCTCAAGGTGGTCGCACCAGAGGTGGCACCAGAAGTCTGCAAAAGATTAGCTTCCCAACGTTGGTATCACGAGTATACTAAGCTTACCGCTCCACTGGTGGTAGCGCCAGTCGTGGCACCGCTGGTGTTACCACTGTTGGTTCCAGAGGCAGACGAGGCACCACTGCCGGTAGCCGAAGAGGCAGAGGTGGTAGATCCAGCACCGCCAGCGCCGGAGCCAGTGCTAGAAGCACCAGTAGCAGAAGCGGAGTCGGAGCTGCCAGAGGAAGTGGGGCAAGAAGCAAGAGCCGTCGAGACAACGGCGTTGGCGTCATCATTGGGGCAAGCCTGAGCGGTGCAGTCGCGGATACCGTAGCTGTAGTCGGGCTTGCTGCACAGGCAGGACATGTCGCCGCTGGAGCAGCCAAGCTCAGAAGCCTTGTTGTTCATGTTGCTAAGGCACATTTGCTAGAGACGCGCGCTGGTCAGTAAGGTGCGCCAGGAAAGTCACATCCAGGTACACATACAGCGCAGTCGCTGACGGAGACATCAGCGCTGACCATGCTGGCAGCGGCCAGAAGAGCAAGGGAGAGCGAGAAGGTCTTCATTGTGTGTGATAAGAAGATGGAAACGTGCAAGAGCAGAAATCGAAGAGCGACGGCGCGAAGAATGGGGTATCAACCGAAGAAGACGGGATGAACACGAAAGACAGATGATGGGACTGGATGGATTGCTTGGAGAGATAGAAAGGAAAGAAAGAGAAGGAGGGCGAGGGGACAAGAGCCGATTTAATATGGAGGCAGGAAAGAGTCAACAAGTGCAAATCCAAATTCAGGGCCCGCAGCTTCCCTTGTTTGCCGCACCGACAACTCGATTCGTTCACTTCGGCGTTTGCCGTCAATCTACTAGTTTGGAGTAGTTGCGTTGCTTGTTTTTACTTTTCTGCTTTTTGCTTTTCACAATTTTCATTTCATTTTTCATATTTCATTTTTATTAATTTTTTTCTGCGAGTCGCTGGTTGCTTCTGGAGTCGATCAGCAAAGGCATCAGAACCCCATCTACCAGGCTACCAGCGCGCCAACGTGGCTCAGGACACCGTCACGGGCCAGTCCATGCAGTCATGGCTGCTCCACCCTGGCCTTAATCTTGGACTAAAGGGAAGGGGCATCGTCTATCATGATCAGACCCAGACACCGTGGCTCAACTCGAATCCACTGTATCCCCTGCGTGCCTCTCATAGGCTGAAGGGAAAAACCCTCGCTTGCGCCGAGTGGCTGAGGATCTAGGGATTTGGAGATATCCCCGGTTGTTGATCCCACTTTCCCTCAACAATCCCAAGCTCCAGTCGATTAAGTTTTTCTTTTGCTAACCGAACTAGGGAGAAGGGCCTTTTCTCTCTTTGTTAGTGCATCTAGTTTACTCCTATTCCGCCAATTTACGAACCGGGCTGCCGACTGACACTAGAGAAGTCTAGATCTGACGACAGAGAGATGCTAAGGCCAAGTTTCGTCACACCACCTACGTCAGTGAGGAGGGGGATACTGGATGCCCAAGATGTGAATGCCGGCAGGCCAAGCAAGGCCAGGAAGTGGGCAGAGACTGGCATAGGGCCCTTGACCGACAGGATGCAGGGGATCGACGCGATGGGGCCGATCTTCGCCGGCTCAGATGGTGATTTGTGCTTCGCTCTGCCACTAAAATCAGCCCACCGCCGGTGTGGCTGACCCTCGCCCTCTTAAGCCACATTTGGCTGCCTCCGCGACAGGGCTGGGCCACTCACGACTCTGGCCGTCTCTCTAGCGTTGACGCTGGAGAAGAGTCCAGGATTGATTCGCCCATTGTCAATCGGACTGACTACAGAGCTCTGTGTATCACGGCAACTTGGCTCGTGGTACCACAGCAACACAGTTGTTTGGTCCGTTGTGGGGAAGCTGCTGAGTTTTCCGCCACCCACTAATTTCGATCTATTGATTGAGGAAGCTACCATTTCTCTCGTAACCGTGGGCGAGAGTCAGGACGGAAAAACAGTTCCAGGGCGCGGCCGAAAGGAAGGCTGGGTTATCCAGCCATTCCATTTCCCACGGGCTGCATTGTCTGTAAGGAGAAGGGGTATCTGCACCTTCCAAACAAACACTCACTCAAAGTTCTAGAAGAGCGCGTCGAGTCGCCATGGACCGGTCGGTGCATTGATGCATTTACGTGGGATGAAGTGTGCGTTGTATCATCACTTCCAAGTCCAGGCAGAAGGGAAGGGTGCCCACCAGATTGACTAACTCCGCTCCGTGGAGGCGACGACCCTAGTCGGACTGGGTAAATGTTTGAGTTGTGGCGGTGCGACAGCTCATCTTCTCTTTGTTGGTTTTAATTTAGATTTTTTTTTTCTTTTTCTCCGGAATTCGACCGAGAAGCCCGTCCCTTCGGCGCCCTACGTCATGGGTCCCTGTGCTCAGGGCCTGTCCCCCGTCCATCAATCAACGCATCCTCGCAAGGGCTGCATTGCCTGCCCCAACGTCACTTTTATTTCACCTGCTCGTGGATGTAGGGTATCTAACTATCTCCAGTTTTCATGCAACGGCCCCATGATGCAATTAAGGGCGACAATGATCATCTTGACAGGGTTCATGGAATCTTGGCAGAATTTCCTTCGAATTGGAATCACTCTGCGAAATGGCTGACTGCGAAGATATTACAGTGCGCTTGCATGCATTGTGCAGTGGTTCGACTCCTGAAACTGATCGGTTCCATTGGAATGCACTGGCCAGATGTGAGATGTAATGTCTCATGACTAGTGCCTTGATTCGTTACACTGCCTGATGATGATTGTCACCATCATCAGGTAAGGCGTTGAATGCGAAACAAGGTCAACATCTAGAGATGCAGTAGATTGCATGAACCTCGCTGTTCCCCAGAACTTTATACCCAAGATCAAACAAGCAGTAAATTTCGACCAGATAGCTGCAATGGTAGCTTATTCAACAAAATACACTGTAGCATGCATAATACATAATATCACAATCAACCCGTAAATTATCACAACCACCAGTCTCTCCCATCAAGTATATGCTCAGGAACATGTCTCCTTCAGTCCCTGATAATAAGCCGCCGCTTCCTCTCCGGCAATGCGACCGAAGACCGCGCACTCCAACAGCGACGATCCCCCCAACCGATTCTGGCCATGGAGACCCCCGGTAATCTCGCCCGCCGCCCAGAGTCCGGGAATCGGCTGCCCCAGACCGTCCAACACCTGGCTGCGCTCGTTGATCACCACGCCTCCCATGGTAAAGTGAACAACCGGGGTAACCTTTCCCACATACACCACCGACTCCGGCTTGACCTCCCTCAGCGTCCAATTTCCAAACGACTGACGCCCAAACTCATCCTGCCTCTTCCCAGCGACCACATCCGCATACTCCCTCAGCGTCTCCTCCAGCGCCGACATCTCCCCCAACTCCCCAACCGTCGTCTTCTTAACCAATCCCTTCCACATATAAAATCCCAAATGCGACTGCAACGCCGCAGCAGCCCCCTCATCCAGCACCAGCTTCACATCCCACTGCCTCGCCTTGGTCGGCAACCTCTCCGCCCGCCCCATCACTTCCCCTGTCACCTTCTCCCTCGTCTCCAACTCATTCACAAACCTCCTCCCATCCCCAAGCACAAGTATACCCCCCTCCCCCCTCAACGCCTCCGCCGCCAATATCTTCACCATCGCCTCCGCCTCATCTTCCTTCCCTCCCACAAACCCCGTCGGATGCACCTGCACCTGCTCCATATCCACCACGGCCGCCCCAACATCCTGCAGTAGAGGCTGCGTCCCCTCGCGCTGCTCATTCGTCGACGGTATCCCCTCCAGATCGGGCCGATACTGCGCTAACAACCCTCTCGCATCGCCTGCGAACCCTCCACTCGCGACAACGACAGGTCCGTACGCTGTCTCTGTTTTTGTCTGATTGCCCCTTTCCTCATTATCCTGGACAGTATACTCCACCCCAACTACCCGTCCTCCTCCCCCCTCTTCTCGTAGAATCCTAGTGACCCGTCTCCCCACCTCCATCCGACAATTCTTATCCTCCGACACCCGTCCCAATAACCCTTTGATGATATCATACCCCGGTGTCCCCTTCCCACTTCCCCGATGCGTCCGCGATACACTATGTCCCCCGAGTCGAGTGACCCGACTCAGATCGACCCCGATGTCATCCGTAAGCCAGTATAGCGCGTCCGCGGACTTGGTTGTAAGGGTGTTGATGAGTTTCTCGCGTCGGGTGCGCTCTACCCCTTCAGCGGAGGTATACGGCATTCCTGCGGAGAGGATGGTATCGTGTTGGAATGTGGTGATGGAATCCGGGTCGGGTTGGTATCGTGTCGGTGCGGCGTTGATCCCTGACGAGGCTTTGATGCTGTTACCGCCGGGTTTGGGCGCCCGGTCGAGGAGGAGCACTGGGATGTGGTGCGTTAAGAGCGTGCTGGTCGTGGTTAGGCCCGCCAGGCCGGTGCCGATTATTATGGTTTGGGGGGTCATTTTTGATGTTTTTGGATGGTTGAGGATGGATGTGTAGAGGTTGTAGGTGTAGGTGTAGTTGTAGTTGTAAGCTAGTAGTGGTAATAGTTTGGTTGGGGTGGTGAGGGGTTATAGTAGTATTAGTGACGGGATCGTATGATCTAACAAGGTGGTGGTGGTGGTATGTTGCGATGGGTTGTACGATCGGATAGTTTGAGTCCGGATAAAGTCAGGGCTTTTGAAGGGTACTGCGAGGAATAACGTGATTGGGAATCGATGGATGCATGTAGGTGTTGTATGACTGCTCTCCTGTTGGAATGTGGAAGTCTAGAACATCTCCGCACAGCAGCATTTACAGTCGCGCTTATCTGTAATCTTATTGGATGGTTAAGTAAGTGTTGGAGGCACATCCGGGCACCAATCAGATTTGGTTTTCGTAGTGTAGTAACTTGTAAGTAATTATTAAGTAGATGATTAGACACCATACCACAGGATCTTAACCACTCAGTCCAACAAGAAGTACAAAGAAGTATGATCGTAACTGAGCTGCTGATCCCAACACAGGATCCACACCCCTGCTGGAACACTATCACTATCAGCCTTGTCCAAATGATGCTTACAACAGTTATCTCTTAGATACGTTCTTTAATTGGTCCACTTCTTAGCTATTCACAACCCAATGGCTACATGGGAAGTTTTGATGTACGTGTGATGGGTGAATGCGGTCCGACACGTGATTGATGGCTCTTATAAATAGCCCTGTAACTCTTGTTCCACCTCAAGTTCGCAATAGAGTGCAGGAGACTAAGAGGAAAGACCGAAGAAGACACTACTACAGGTGCTCACATTTCAACTTTGTCCCTTCGCTGCTATCTTTTCGCAACCCACAAACTGCCCTCGCAGAGTTGTTTGTCATACACTTTGATTGAGGGTTCACCCGGGACAGGATTCCATGTTAGGCAACTTGGTATCATGCCAACTCAAGAATATTTCGATCAGATTCCTCCGTTCCCTTCAGAACTACCTGTTGTTTCACTGTCAAAGATCTCTCTCGAAGGATTGAAGAACAACACGACAGAAGAAGTAGAGGAATTGTTCGAAGCGTGCCAACAATGGGGATTCTTTCTGTTGGACTTGAGGGGGTCAGATGAGGGGGCTGCTCTGCTTCAGGACGCCGAAGGAATGTTCGAGTTGACTACACAGCTCTCTACGCTGGGACAAGAGACTCTGAAGTCTTATACCTACAAGCCCCCAGACTTTATGAGGTATGTACTTGCAACCCCAGTCCTCGGCCTTGTATGTTTAACTTTCGATCAGATATAAAGGGATAGGAAGCATAAAGACGGACAATGGCGAAGCCGACCATATCCACGCCTACTCGCTAAGCCAAGATGAAGTGCTAGGATACCCCAATCGCTCAAGCCTCCACCCTGAAGTGATCAACACCAGCAAAGAGCAGCTCCGGAAGTTCATCGAACACGCCCACGCTATATTAGATGAAGTCTTGGCCAAGTTGGACATTTGCTTGGGCATCGAACCCAAGACACTCGAAGCACTGAGTCCGTTGGACCAGGAATCTGAGAGCTTAGTCCGCCTGCTCTGGAGCCCAGCCCAAGCCAATCCCGATTATGACCGCATATCCTTTGGCGGCCACACTGACATGGGAACAATGACGCTCTTATTTAATATCGCAGGCGGACTCCAAGTTCTCCCCGCGAGTCGTGAGAATGTCAAAGAAAACTGGCAATACATAAAACCGGAGCCCGGGTGTGCTGTTGTGAATGTTGGCGACACATTGGTAGAGTGGACGGGAGGTGTCTTGCGCAGCTCTCTGCACCGGGTGGTGACAGCTCCAGGGGACCAAGCGATGGTGCAACGGGAAAGTGTGGCCTATCTGGTACGTCCCAAGCGAACTGCATCTCTCCAGCGCCTTAAGGGAGGGGTTATCCCGCCCTTGTTGCCGGGAGAAGAGGATGAAACGCGCTCGGTAGATGAGTGGAATGAATGGAGATCTCGGCAAATTGCATTGGGACAGTTGAAGCCCGAGACGCGAGGCGGACGCAACATGTAATGTAATGCGCTCCCCAGCTTCAACTTCAAACGAGGCTTTCTAACGCTACAAACTTTTTGCGTCCTAGGGCGAACACTTGAAAGATTCCAAGTCGGAGATACCGGCCAGCTGTCAGACATCATAGAGCTTAGATAAACTGCTAGAGAACCTGTATCGTATATCTTGTCCACAATTTTCTTAGAAAGTACATTATTGGTACCGTAGTGTGGGGGTCAGATCTGGGTGGCAAGGGACTGATGAAGTAACTGTATACGGTCAATGTGCTCACCCACAGTAAGGTAATGCCTGTTACCTTTATCGTCAGCTGATTCACTCTAACAGAGTGGGCAGGACTGGACCTTTTCTCATAATGTGAGATATAACGCGTGCATAGACCCCACATTTGGAGTGAATGATGATAGCGTCTGGTTCTGGAGAGAAACAAGGCTACCAGACCACATCGGCAGTTACCAGATCGAAATTTTGACATATAATTCATAACCCATGTTAGACATTGCTCCAACACTAACAAAGAGGCTAGATAGCGAGATACAGAAATAGTTGACAGTAGAAAGTTATTACGGGGCAGTTACAAAGAAAGGCGAGAAATTAGAGAGAAGAAAAGGGCTTTCAGGGGTATCATAGGTTTACCTAGGGTATGCGATTGCAGGATTGTTGGATCCAACAGACACAAACAAAGAGAGAAGAGACACAGCCCCTTTTTCTATCAAGGTTGGAATTCTCAAGCACGGTTGTTGCTGGACTAGCGGCCGCGACTAGGATTGACGATGTAAGACGATGTAACAAACAAATGGACGGATGCGTGCCCAAGCTCACACCGTGACTGACACCATTCGGTGAATTGTCCACCAGCTATAAAGGGTTCCCTCAATCCATACTCAATCCATATTAGGATGGTCACCCTAATCGATCATTTCTCGTTTACTAAGTGGAATCTGCCGATAGACCCTTTTTCTATTGCGATAAATTTCATTCATTTCCCCCCTCTTCCCAGCTCTTTCTCATTTGCGGAGTTTAGAGAAAGTTAGCACCCGACACGAAGTGTTTTCCTGGAAATCTACAATAACAGATTCCGACCGTTGAAAGGACAAAAGTCGTTGACGGATACAATGACAACAGAACCACTCCCCACAAGCCTGTCCCAAGCGTTGGACCTTCCATTCTCCTCTGCGCGCCAATGTTCGGTGCAGCTGCCCTCAGATATTGCGGTCGGCTCTGGTATGTACTAGAATGTACGCATCTTACCTGCTAAGGGATACTCACTACGTTATAGTTAGTGTTGGTGGCTATGTAGCTTGCCTCATGACCAAATATGCTCTCTATTATGCCACACAACACCCTAAACTGCAATCTCAGACTGACCTTCGAAATTCTTATGTCCAATTCTACCGTCCAACTTTCGCCTCGGCACCCTTGAGGATGACCTTGCGAGAAGTGAACATCGGGAAAGCACAGTCTACCCTCCGAGTCGAATCATTCCAGAATGAAAAACTCGCCGTGTCTGTGGATATAGGGTATGTAGGAAACAATCATTCCCGGAATAACAGATGCTTACATACTTGACAGCATCACCAACCCGTCCATCACAGGCATCACAATCCAAACTGACTGGCGTCTCTTCACTCCCCCTTCTCCTGTGGACCTCACCAAACTCGAGACAGACAGTGACCCGAATTGGATTTCTTACCACTGCGCCTTCTATCCCGAAGGATTTCGAAGGGGTCAGTCCTACCTCAAGAACTTCATCCCGAGAGCTCTGCCCACCGATTTTCCATTCATCGAGCAATGGGTTGAACCGGGTTGGGACTATCTCCCGCTAGGCTCGCGGCCGTCGGAAAGTGGAGGCAAGGCCCGATGGACCAATGACATGGTACAGTTTGTGGGAGACATGCCACTTCCGATTCAAGAGAACTATGTCCGGCATGAAGAGGGAAAGCCATTTCCGATGGGGAGTATAGCGGCCATGCTCGAGTTTGCGAAGCGCCAGGAAAAGGCCCGCAATGAAGGACGGAGCGATTGGAGAGTTCTCAACGATGACGGCACCAAGAAATTTTCGGGCAAACTGCTGAACGTCTCCTTGACTCTCTCCACGGAGATCAAGCAAAGGCTTCCCGCGGAGGGCGTCCGATGGCTGTACTTGCGGACTGAGTGCAAAAGAATCTTGAACGGTCAAATGGATATGGAGGTTCTTATTTTTGATGAAAGGATGGATCTAATTGCTATCAGTCAGCAGATAGCGGCTCTTGTACCTGCTAACTCGAAGATCCAGAAATTGTGACTTACTGGAGACATGTGATTTTCTATCAATCTAATAAGTGCCTGTTTAGATGTTTCTTTGTCCATGCTGATAGTCCAAGTAGAATTTGGTTATACCAATGATGGCGACGGAAGCTTAAACTTATTTAGGAAGATAAGATTTTTGAGCGTTGTCTCGGTTTAGACAGCCTTTTTCGCCGATGCTTGAAAGATGAGAAGGGAAGCATGATTCATCCAACCATTCACCTAGATAGACCATGAATGAACAAGGGCACTGGGAGGATTGGTGAAGTAATCTACTGCCTTGCTTGGATACTAAGCTCCAACATCGATTATCACTGTGACTTGGGGCTGTGTATTGGTCTTCAGCTATATAAGGCATGCTCTAGCATTTCACTCGGTATCTGATTGAATTTCATAATTCAATCCAGCCTTGCCTGCTTGAAGGTATATAAGGAGGGTTGGGACCTCTTCCAATTATCTTCTGCTTTTATTCCATAGCTTTACTTCTTTACTACATGATATCTTCTTCCTGTATGCCCTTGACATTCTGTATGCATACAATAGAACCTAGCTATCTATATTGGAATAAAGCATTCTATATACTTCAGTACATGGTTCCCATAGGGCGCAGAACTTGACAGTACTTGGAAATATGGTACACATGACTGATAAGAAGAGTACACCAACTACTGGGACAGCTGACAGATCGTCACCAGCACTAAGCAAACAGGAGGAGGTATAATGCGCAGTCCAAGATATCAGAAGTGAAAAGAGGGCTCTTTCGAGGGTGACCTGAGAATAGGCCTTTCACATTGTGGACATCACGACTGTACATGCGATTCATAAAATCTGAAAAAGGCCACTGTGCATCCAACTTGTGGCAGCTGGTTGCGATACATACATCGGGAGACCAGAATGAAAGCGACTGTGTCGTGGGTACCTGTTGGATGGCCGAGTCGGCCCTGGGAAGACATGGATGTCTACAAGTTAGCTGCCCTCGGTCAACCTCTTAAGTCTCAACTATCCGAGAATTGAACCTGATAACTAGTATCTTTTTGCATGTTGCGCAGCATTATACAGAACCTTTGAATGGGTATATATGGCAGTGACAATACAAACGACCATTCTTGAAGAGCTAGAACCAGACGATCAATATGACATACTGGATGCCTTTGAGCTTTAGTCATTACGTCAGTGTCCTCCCTTCTGCTTTCTGAACCGTTTGATGATCCGAAAGTTCAATTATATCAATTAACTACAATTTAAATGATCACCAATTCTCCGTCGGCGTTGCTACTATTTAGGCTTCACTGCTTATCGCATTTTCCAAGTGGAGTTCCGTCATGGCCGGATTCATGCTTTTCAGATTTCTATGCACCGTTCCAGTTACATCAATGTCCTGCTGATCTGGTCTCAGGGATAACCTCCGCCAGAAGCATGTACCGACTGTCATGTTTGTAATAAGGGCAACTTCCTCAAATGATCAAGTCATTTATAAATTAAACCAGGAAATTACTATTGCTGCATCAACCAGATCGCCTATAAGTGTTGCCCAACTCCAGCAAAGCGCGAACTGATCAACCCCAAGTCCAGCAATAACAGGCAGACCTTGCTGATATTGATATCGCTAGCATGAGGGCTGGACACAGTTACCAGCATTTGGACTTTAGGCCCAATTTTCGTTGTTTGAACAGTACATGGTGACCGTCGTCTTCCATCCCCGGGTATATCGTTTCTGGGGGAAGATGTGAGTTCAATAACATCAAAGGCAAGAGTATCGAGAATCTACAACTAAAGTCCCATTAAATGTACAATTCGAACCTCTCACTGCCCGCACGAGCACAAGGCAAGGAGTCGCAATGTGCCATTCGTGCTGGGTAAACACATCAAGGATATACTCCGCTGGGTGGACGAGATCCTAACGGAGCGCAACGAATCCGAAGGGTAATTCTGTCCCTTCTCTTCTTCGGCATCCGGTCTGACTCAATGGTTGCTCTGACATAGTCCTTACTCGATCCAGTGCAGCTGTCCCCCGTGTTGCTGCATCCGTGCCCGGTGAACTTATTTAAATTATTGAGAAGGATATATTCAAGCTGTTTCTGGCAGGCGCACTATGGTCATATTTTAGTCCTGTATGCCGTATCAATAGAATCTAGAAGTCGTTAACTTGGGTTGATTGCCAATTCTTCTGAGTCAGTCCGATGGCTTCACCAAGCCATTCAATGGGTAAATTGCACATATTTTGCATCTCACGGGGAGAGAGGAGATGGTAGATAATATCAAGCGAGAGTATGATGCGGCACCATCACTTGCTCCTGGGGGGGGGGAAGTAACATCCAAACACTTCTTGCCAATTTGAATCTAGCGCTGAGAGAGAAGTCAGGGGATCGAAAAGAAGACGAGAGGTCTCAAGCAACCAGCGCCTTCAATGAAAACAGTACTACCGTTGGATTTGAGAGGCTAGAAGAAATTGTACTATGAAAGGAAGGCTACAGTAAGCTAATAATTGATAATTGCAAGGGATGAAAGGCATAACTTCATTACATGTTGGGACATGTATCTCTATCTACTGTCCGGGGAGACGCGGTATTTCGGTTTTGATTTACTAGAGGTCAGTATTATGTGTTGTATACCGAAAGTCATGCCAAGAACATCACTTCCACCCTGGTATAGAAACAACCCCACCAGAAGAGCCGTAGATAACTGCCACGCGCAGAACACGAAATCAAGGAGCACCAGTAATCAATCTAAGCCCACCCCGGCACATCTCCGGAGCCATTGACCCGTTGAACAACTGATAAAAACACTCTCATTCGCTATATCGCTAGTTTCGCTGCAACCCGACCGTTAAAAGTGGACCACCGTAAGCGCTAAAGGCATGGCATTTCGTTAGCGAGAAACAACCGGCCTCGGCTTCCGCCGAACATGCGAATCAAATCTAATGCACTCCGTTTTTACCACTTTTTAACTAGTCCAATCGTAGCTCCGTCATATCCACCATGTGAAGGATATAAAACTCCGGATTATAGTGGCGTGACCCTCTCGTTTTTCTCCTTTTCTTTCTGTCTTTTTGTCTCTACTCTTCAGACGTCTGGGAACACGCACCGTATTTGCGTATCCCTTGCAGCCACACCACACCACACCACAACACGTACACAGTAGTAACAATGGGCTCCATCGCCCCCGACCTCCCCATTGAGGTGGACCACGACGACGACGCAATCAGCCTAGGCACCGAATCCTCCACAACGTCCCTCAGCTCGAGCGTACTCAAATACGAATACAAGCATGGTCGACGCTACCACGCACACCATCTGGGAAACTACCCGTTTCCCAACGATCAGCCCGAACAAGACCGATTAGACATGGTGCACCACATCTTCTACCGACTTATCAACAACCGACTGTTCCTTGCGCCGCTAAACCCAGACGGGAAACGCATTCTAGATATTGGCAC